CCATCAACTATTCCTTTCATGACTTCAAAATACTAACACAAACTATGTTTGTTTTTCCACTGAAACATAATTCAACAAGGGGTTTTGATTTCCAAAAAGAAATGTAGAAGTAACTAGTGTGATGTTAAATTGGATTGAATCGAAAATCAAACACTCTGAAGACTCAGAAAATGACATGGTAAATATATAATGTTAGAAAGTTTACCTTGTTCAAACGTGAAGACTCGTTGTTTCTCTTTAAAATTGTTCCAAAATGTGACTAAAAAGGATTGGACTCATTATACAAATTTTTTGTCGATAAATGAATAGATCCATACTGGTTTCCATCAGTTAATTCTGAAATTATCTTGTCAGTTGTGTATATTCCGTTTTGCTCTCTCATCATCTTCTCAAGTTCAGCTACTCCAGGTCCTCTTTTTGGAACTTTCAGACGTTTTTTATGACTTGAATTAGCAGCACCATTAGAAGTATTATTATTCTGCATCATCTTTTACTTTTATAAACTGCATAAAGATGTAGATGATCATAGAAGATCCAATACAATCTAATATCTAATATAATTTATTTAAATACAATTCAGAGAAAGAATTTTAAAGATTTTATATATCTGTTTGTGGAAATACATAATATATATAAGATTTTAAATTAATATTCCCATCTCTAATTGCTGTTCATGTAAACCATTTTTTACTCAGATGACTGCATCAGGACGCAATTTAAACCACTTTACTTCTATTTTTTGTAACTTCAAAGATTGGAATGAAATCTTAGCTACTGACATAAATAAAAGAAAATGAATTCTTTACTTAATAGATTATATTTTGTAGCATATAAACATTGGGTTCAATTACTTATTTACATATTAGATGAATATTTAATTATATTTTGCGTTACTTTCATTGTATATTTTATCATTTTTTTAGTTTTGTAGAAAACACTTAATGATTCAAAATATTTCAAATTTTCATTTTAGTTTTTGTTGTTTATTTTCTTTTAAAGTGTTAAATATTGAAATCATGTGTTTGATAAGGCTTTTTAATCAGTGTTTAATATTTTTTTATTATAGTTAACAAAAATTGTATCTTTCTAAGAAGTTTTTTCATTAACTTAAAGCATTTTTTTAGACGTTTAAAAATTAACTTTTAGCGTTATATAATCCTTTAATAAATTATTAGCTTGATCTTTTAATATTTTCTACACAATCTTGTATGTTTTTATTACTTCTTCGAAAAAAAAAATTATATGATATTCTTTAGTTTTATTTTTATTACATGATATATTATAAGAATAAATAATAAATATTTTTTCATATTTTTAACATTAAATTTCAATGTTTAGATTGGTATCTTATATTTTTAAAATACTATATTAAGACCTACTTAAAAGTATAACATTTTAAGTTACTTTTTAAATTTTAATTAAACTAATTTAAAATATAGCTTAATATGAATATTACAAAAATAATAATTGTAAAAATNATTTTTTTAGACGTTTAAAAATTAACTTTTAGCGTTATATAATCCTTTAATAAATTATTAGCTTGATCTTTTAATATTTTCTACACAATCTTGTATGTTTTTATTACTTCTTCGAAAAAAAAAATTATATGATATTCTTTAGTTTTATTTTTATTACATGATATATTATAAGAATAAATAATAAATATTTTTTCATATTTTTAACATTAAATTTCAATGTTTAGATTGGTATCTTATATTTTTAAAATACTATATTAAGACCTACTTAAAAGTATAACATTTTAAGTTACTTTTTAAATTTTAATTAAACTAATTTAAAATATAGCTTAATATGAATATTACAAAAATAATAATTGTAAAAATATAATAAAAAATAAAAATAAAATTATTAATTTATAAATAAAATTAAAAATATTTAAAATTAACCTATATTTTTTATTATTTTTGTATTTTCCTAACATATAATTACTAGCTTATTAGTTTTCTTTCACTAGTTACAAGCTTTCATAAATTAGTTAGTTTTCCAACTTCTAATTAGTTTCATGTTAATTTTGTAAAGAATAACTTATATATTTCCTTGATAAAAGTAGTATTATACTTAATTTCATTAAAATACTTTTATATAACATGTATCATTCATGAAAAAACAAATGTATTTATAATTATTATTATTATTATTATATATTTTCATTAGAAGATAAAAATATTATTATTAATAATATTTTCTTTATTTGTTATAGAAAAATATTATTAATAATTTTTAAACAAAGCCACATAATGAACTTTGACATATGACACTTCAAACCTAATCAATCATTCTTTATCACATAAAAAATTATTATAAAATAAAAAAATACAAGACATGTGAAGCAAATTATGTTTATTGGTTACTCTATTATGTGAAGCAAATTCTTATCATGACAACCAAAAACAATCACAATTGAAATTAAAGTGTTCAACAAAAGCTAGAAAAGAAGAGAATGATGACTTACCTGGTAGATTTTAAGAGCTTGAGTTGGAATTTTAATGGTGGTTGATTTCAAACACTCTAAATTACAACTAAACTTACTTTTTTTTTTATCAAATCAAAGTCAAAGGTTAGAGATGAAATAATGTTTGTTATTTTAGGCCTAGTTCAGTATTTATAACCTTTGTTTTTCACAAAATCAGTAAGATTTTGTTTTTTACTTTTTATGATCCATTCAGAATATTCTATAACAAAATCTTGTATCTTTAAAATCCATCAGACCGAGATATTATCAGCTACGTACATAAAGAAACCAATCTATATGTACCAAAACTAATTAAGCCTTAATTATGCTTTTTTTCTATATCTTAGTTTTTATTTATTTTTATTTAGACATGTTAGTACGATATTTTTATATTAAGTTTATATTCTTGAGAAAAATATTTTTTGAAATATTTATAATTTCAATTTTTAAAAAAATGTATAGGTCAATTTTAGTTAATTTTTTATTTTCAATTATTATTCCTATTTTATTATGCTAATTAGTGTAGTGGTTAATAAATAATGGAACATAAAAATAATAATGCATCACACTAATATCTCCATGCACAATGTGGAACTAATGAAATAAAATTTTCAAATAGTTTCCCAATTAAAATAAAAATGTTACATAAAAATATCAGAAAACTATACGAAAATTATAAAACTTAATACACAAGATTATCAATATCTTATTAGATTATGAATATTTTATGTAATTAAAAATAAATGAAAAGATTGCCATATCGTTAAAAACTATTATTCAAAATACCAAAAATCTTAGTATTTGGAATCTTTTACACACATGTTGTGATATGAATTTTCTTAAATATTTATTTGGATACAAATCATATCTATTATTATGTTTACATTAATGAGTTTTAAATAGAAGTTACTAAAATTTTTTTATCCCAAAATTTATGATAATAATAATTTGGCATAAGTTTCAAATATATGATAACTTTTTGAGTACAGCTTTGATGTTTGTTTATAAACTTCTTATTACAAAATTTAAAGTAATTTGAAAATATAAATGTTATGAAACATTCATGATATAATTAAACGTGTGATACTTTTCTTTTTTTTAACTAAAGATAAATATACTTTAACTCTTAATATGAGATATGTATTTTTGAAATTCTTTTTTTTAACTAAAGATAAATATACTTTAACTCTTAATATGAGATATTTATTTTTGAAGTTAATATTTCTTTATACTAACGGAAGAGATTGTTTATATCTTTTTTGAAAATATTTCTAAAAAACGCATCATACTGATGTAATGTTTGTTTCGTACGGTCACAAAAACTAATAATCTTTAATCTATGCTAAATATTGCTTTAAATTGTGAGTAGATAATATAGAGATGCACTGATTTACATATTAAATTCATTTCAGTCAAAATTCAAAATAATCTATTAATTTGTTGTACATAACTGTTTGTTGTAATTTTTTCTATCTTGATAAAAATTATACCTCAGAAGATTTATATTAAAGTAAAGAATAGATTTCGGAAACAAAATAACGTTTTACATTGTCAAATAACTTTAATTTTCTAAATCCAAATTAATTTAGTGTCCTATCAAGATATACAAGTAAATGTTTGTCTCTGAATTTATTCTTATTTTGGTTTTCAATCTTCGAAATATTAAAAATAATCTTATTTAATTTACACAAATAACATTCAAAAAGTAATTAGACCAAAAGTAGCATTGTTACTGTGGATGAAGTAATCATCCACGAAAAAATTGTTAATGGATAAATTAAATGAATTTTATCAGATGAATTATGGATAGACTAATTTCTAAAATACTTGTTAGTATTAATGTATTAATAAACTATTTATATCTGATACATTTGGCTTGTGCATAGCAGATAAAAGGAATTCACATCTTAAGGTATTTCATGTGTTAGCTTAAACTAATCAATCATATAGGGTTTCGGATCACCATTTTCCACAACATTTCTAGTAAATGTAGCAAGATCACAATCATGCACTGAACCTAATACACTTTTAGAATACACTTTTAGATATATTTTGTACTAGGACTAAGACTTCGTGTACTCGCATCATTCATAATTACCTATTAAACAGCAAGAAGTTACCTTCAATGAGCTTCAATAAGTTGAAGATACAAGCATACACAATATAGATGCAGAATAGGAGCTACAATAATTAACATCAACAGAACCAACACTTCGGAAGCAGACTCACTTCTAACCCGATGGATCTTTGAACAACTTCCCTTTCATAAGTTAAGCGGCAAGTTAAAGTAAACCGTAAATTAAACAAAATTTGCCTTTCATCAAGAATGCAACATTGAGACAAAGCGGTCATGTTCATTCTTAATTCATTTTTCAAATGGACATCTGTGAAGCTCCCAAAAGGATGTCAGAGGCCAATCATAAAAAATCTGATGGCTTCCTTCATTGGCAATTATAAAGTAAACATAGATCCACTCCAACATTTCATGAATAGCTGTCATGTATTTTTAGATCCGACGACAAACTTGGCAATGAAAAATCCAATTGTATCAAGGGGAGGATGATGGATCAAACCTCTGAACAAGCTCTTCCTCCCCAGGTCGTAACCACTCCCTGTATAGACGTATGTATGTGAAACCAAAACTGGCACTGAATTTTTTTTCTTTTTTTAGGATAAAAAAATGGAAGGTATATATCCTCCAATACTACTGAACAGCATACAAAAATAACGAGTGTGTACACAGTGCTAGTGTAAGGGAGAGAGATAAGAGATGCAAATTCTAGGACAAAGGGATGAAGGGCTTACTCTACATATCCATCCGGAAATTCACAGCTACCAACTAGACCCGGTCCCCCAATTCTTGGATGCTGGAATAAATCAAATACCAAATACGAATAACTCGTCCGAGTGTCCTAATAATTCATTACAGATAAACTAAACATCGAAATTTGTTTCATTGTTTATGATCAACACTTTACCGTATTAGTTAAAAATATAAACCCGTTTAGGCATCCTTCAGTTAATTAAATATATAATCAAATTTTTAAATATAGCAATTCAGCCACAGAATTATATAGCCTACTCGATTGAGGAAAAAAAAAAGGAAGTTGATTATTGCAAAGAATCAGCATCAAACCTGCGGTGCCAATGACAGATATTTGTATTTATCCAAAGCATATCGAACTAATGCTTCATTCTCCCGGGATTAATCGTACAACTATATTAAGACAATGACCAATAAATCAGATTCACAGTAACGTCTCACAAATAAAGAGTTAATATAAATTTCAGAAGAGTTCATCGTGGAAGCGATTCCAAAGATGCGGCTCGGAGACGTAAAAAATATATTTCAGACCATTGACAAAATAATGCAATTAGAATTAGCAGTTAGATATACAGAGAAAATCAAAATTACTAACGGCATGCTAGGTTCAAGAATGTATAAAAACGGAAATGAGATTATTTTGTTGGGAATTAAGCGCAAGAGAGGTAAACCCAAAAGACTATCATACGTAGGAACCTCAAGACTCAAACTCCACACCAAGTAGTTTATCTTACTAAATGAGAGACCCCTAACATTGTCACCTCCTTTACGGACCGGTCTCCACAGCAGTTTCACTCTATCAATACTGACCCAATAGTAACCTTTTTCTCTGAGACAACTTTCACTCACCTATCAATACTAGTCCATTAGATGGGAGTCAGAAGGTTTAAGTACCACATCAAGTAAGCTTATCCTACTCAATGTGAACCCTTAACGTTGTCACCTAACAGTTTTGGTTTGCACCTTGATCCAATCTACAGATAACCTTTCTGTAGGCCAACTCTCAATGAAAGCATCAATTGTTAAGAATTAAGTACAAGAGGAAAGCTCAACACAAGACTTAAATACCACATCAAGTAGTTCATCCTACTAAATGTGAGAATCCGAACTTTTTAGGTTGTTTAATAATAAAGAATGTGGAAGGAAAGAAATAAAAATGTTTATAAAATGACATTATACATGCAACATAATAAGGATATTTTTATCTTTGGATATAAAGTAACTTTGTCCCCTTTTTCTTTCCAATTAGGAGGGAAAGCATCTAACAATGAGATCCTCAATTATATATCCAAATTTGTCATGGTTTCCATCCTTCCAATTAATCATCCCTCCCGTTTCCATTTAACAAGCATCCTCATGAATATGCTCAGAAAGATTGTGACAAATTAACAATGACATGACATTTACATGTAGGCATCTTTTTGGCACCTACTGATAAGAAATTCAGACAATAAGAAATTCAGACAAGAACAAATGCAATTGCAAACTCTCATAACATGAATATGGAGGAGAAGTTGACTAGCATGATTACTTTTCCATAAAGTAAATTATAATTTAAAACCAAAACAAAGGACAAGGATGAAACCTAATAAAAATGTCATAGGCGATAAGGAAGAAACATGATCATATATCATAACAGAAAACATTCAAGCATGCATAGAGATATGATCAACCAAGTACATCCTTACGTGGAGTAGACAATTACTCCTCTGGTCGAACTAATTGAACAGCTTGGTCAAACATCCTTCTCTGGTACTTTGCATGGTTTCTTAAAGATTCAATTGTTTCCTGCCAAACACAAAATGCATTTCATGCTTACTACTGTTGTCTTTAAAAACCAATTATTTTGTTTTTAAATTTCTTTTCATTTTTTGATAAATAAAACTAAAGAAACTAACTTATCCACCCACGCAGAGATGATGACTATGCATCACACTGGCCAATCTGTAGT